CTCTACTTTCCGTTTGCTTCATGCTCATACCAAATGAAGCCCTAGCTGATCTCCCTGGGAATCAGGATTGGGAGAGACTGTGAAGTGTGGTCAAACGGGGATGAAGCCTCTGTGTGTTCAATTTTGTGGGGTACACAGGTGGGAACATGCAGTGAGGATTAACTGTGGCTTACTCATGAACTTCTGTGTGTTACATGTGTCAAATACCTGTGTGGTTATTAAAATAATAAAGCTTGAACACTGAGTTATAATCAGATTATTGTAACCTCATAATTTCCATTCTGAAATGTAAAATCAAGTGTAAAACACTAAGGCCCTTTCTTTATTAACGTTCCCCAGGAAGACATGGGATAAAATACTGATGTTAGCTGATGAGTCAGTTCGACTTCTACAGATCCTAAATACAACAGAATGAAACACCACGCTGTCCTGAGGCAGTCTCACAAGTGTGCTTATATTTGAACCTAAAGTTGTAGCCACTGTGCCTATCTGTCTTTTCCAGAGTCTTTCTATTCGAGTGAATAAAATACCTGTAGCAAAAATATACATATTATCAAACATATAATCACATACATGTGAAATGTGAACATACAAAAGCAGGAAACTGACATTATGACATTTGTATTGTAATAATCATATTAACATGCACGGACATCCTCCAAACAAATTATCACATCTACTAGAACTAACAAACCTTCATAAATACTCACTCAGATTAATAAGTACACATGCATTTATATAAGAAAGAACAACACAAAGATACACACTAAAATATACTAGAATCATAATAAAAATAAAATGCAGACTAGACTACAAGTTCTGTGGCATAGTGTAACCTATTAAAGAAGTTCATGTGTTTTAGCACACAAAAAAACATACACATAAAGTACATGCAAGAACATACACACACTGAACTACAAGAATGTGGAGGTCTGTGGCAGAGACATTTTCTCTGCAGGTAGAGGATATAGGTACCTCATTTAACTAATCCTTCTTAGGCTCCTCTGCACGTTTCCCCTGAGGGCCCCTGTTACCTGTGGACTTTGAGTGACTCCTGAGCCCCGACCTCTCCCTGCATGGGTGTCTGTGTCTGGGTTCCCTCAGCCTTTCCCTCTGTGTGTGTCTGACGCAGAATTTTGCGATCATAACTACAGCACTCACAGTGCTAATTGAGGGAAAATAAGTCCCTGGGAATATCTCTGGAGAAGAATATTCTGATCTCAATAATATTTAGAGGCATAGCCACCCACAGAAATTGTAGGGAACCTGTGGGTGCTCTGAACAGAATAGGATGTGTATAGACCATGGACAGGGGGAGACAGGGCAGGAAGGAAGGTGAGTTCTGTGGATGCACGTTGAGACTAAGCATAAAAGTTGTCTTGTCTCTCTATTCCCACTCTTGTATCAATATTCACAACTGCTAAATTAAAAAAACAAACAGACTTGGGAGAAAAAAATGGCTCTCAAAATAGTCAGTGGTGGACAAGGGCAGACAGGAGCTGTGTAGTAATAAAATGAATGAACTCAGACAAGAAAACCTCTGACTGGATGAATGGAGACAGGTGATTTGATGTGGGATCAGTCTACTGGTAATCAGTTCTTGTAGTATTTTGTATGAAAAAA